GGAATGGACAAGAAATTGAGTGATATAAGCCTATTTTAATCAATAGCCTACAGACATGCACTAAAAGCTACCTTTTATTATTTGTACTATCCAGTTTGAAACAACTATCAAAAGAGATTTTAAGTAATAGGATAGAACTGGAAAACATACCAACACTCCTAAAATGAGCTAAAAAATTTTACTCTTCAATAGTGAACAGGAAGTCGTCCTGAGCAAATGCAAGACTCAAAAAAACTATATTACTAAAACTGAAAAGAGCAAAAATGTTGGCATGTTTTGTTACGCACGACACCTTCCACACGATACACCTATGAACAGATTGCCCAACTCCTCAGCTATTGCTTAAATCAGTAATGGATGTTGCATGACAGGCATCTGGACCCAGAAAAATTTACTGCCAGTGCATTTAACCTTGTGAGCAGCAAACATTATCTAGCTGACAAAAGCTGTCTTGATCTTTCACCCAGCACAAGCCTTAAGGGAATGAGTGAGCCTCAAAAAGCAACAATGATAACCTCAAAAAAACCCCAAACCAAACCCAAACCAAAAAACCATCTCCTCCCCTACTTTCCCCCCCCTCAACTAGTAACATGTTTCCCTCGGTGTCATCATCTCTGTCATCCTGCAGTGCTCTTAAGATGTCAAAAGGGAAGATCTCTTACCTGCCTATAGTAGGGATTTCTTAACAGGGAAAGATGAGGGAGCAGATACCATGGCTCCTTTCGCAGGACTTTTCTTGCTGCTCCTTCCAAAATTCCCTCCCATCTGCCACCCACCAAGACATCAGCATCATCCCTGCTCACTACCACTTGAAGAACCACTGCCACTTGAAAGCAGAGCTGAACGGGGTCAAGTCTTAAGTCCTCACAGAATTTAAGGGCTGTCACTCTTGTGGCTTGCAAGAGAGTATTATTACATGTTGCTGATTTATGTAGTACCAGAGATGAGCACAGCAAAATTGCAGAGACAAACAGTAAGTCCATTTGCACAGCTGCAAAACTGTATTTTGACACTGGACCTTAAGTAAGAGAGACTATAAAGTGGTATTTGTGAGATGCTACTATAAAGAAAACAGAATTATGTTATCTCAAAATAGTAAGCCTCTCCTATTTCCAAGAAGCAAGACAACACTGATGAAGTGCACTGGGGCATCAGACTCAGCAAAATTTATTAAAGTTACATCTAGTAGGCAACTTTGATCTTACTGACACATAGGCTTTATGTGGACTAGGAAAAAATGTTGTTCTCTAACGCTTTTGCCAAGTCTCAACCTCATTTTAATATATATATATATAAAA